CACCACGCTTGGTTCCTCTGAGAGGGCGACCTGGCACACGGAGGCCCCACGGTGTGTCCTTGTCTTCCAGAATCTCCTGAAGGATTGCTAAAAACTGAGCTCAATAACGAAGATCAGGTGGGTAGGTTTATTTTAGAAATGTGTCCTGAAAGCTACAGGTTTTGAGTCCTCTTTTCGACGCACAGCGGGATGTGGGCAGACCTGGCTGACGCGGACGGGCCGTTCCCGGGGCCGACGGCACGGAGCAGCGGGGCAGTTTCTGTAGGGCTCGGCCTGGTTGACACCTGGTGTGTTATTTTGGGAAACAGCTGAGGAGTTAGGTGGGGACCTGGCTGGGCAAAGAAGAAAGGCAATTAGTGTAAGTGCCTGAAAATCGATCAGGGGAAAGTAACGTAACAGCAGCAGTATCTGGACATGCTTATTAAGTCACCAAGAGGTGAGGAGGCTTGAGTTAACAAACTAGCAGGTACTTGCTGTGTTCGGCTTTAAGGTGCCTTGGGGATGTATGAGGGAAATGTCAAGAAGGAATAACTCAAGGCTCCACCTTCTGTAGTTCGTGGTCTAATTAGGGGCGTAAGGGGTGTGTTTATTGTCAGTATCTCCGTACGGGTGTGGGCGGGGGCGCACACACCGAAGGGCAGATGTGAGGAGTTCCAGCGGTTTTATAGACGGCAAGTACCAGGGGTGTTTAGAGGGAAAGAAGCCCCTTTTGGTTGGGTTGCTAGAGGTGGCCTCAGGAGGAAAGGGTGGTTGGGTTTGGGGTTTGAAAGGTGGAAGTTATTTCAGAAGTGAGTGTAGTGTGTGACGAGGGGAGAAAGTGACATTAGGAACACCAGATGTGAAAGTGCGTGCATTTGGGACTGACACGCAGATCTGGTCGAAGCGGAGACTTCACGTGTGCCTAAATGGTAGATGATTCTGGAAAGACAAAGGGCAGGGGCGAGGGGTGTGGGGGGAAGAGGCCACCCATAGAAGACTGTGAACAAACTCCCCAGAGTAAGAGTCTGCACCTCATTCTGTCCGCACATCAGGAGTCAGGTGAGGAGGGAGCGTGGGAGGATGTGGCAGCCATGCCTGGAAGCTGGAATTGACTCGCCCCAGGGACAGAAGGATGGAGAGTGGGTACCAGCGTGGGGTGAGCAGGGCAGGATGTGGTCGGAGCCCGGACGGGGACTTGGCCCTGGGAGCGCTGGTCTCTGTGTGGAAGAGGCATTAACCTCACCTGGTCGCCTCTGGGAAAGCCACGTGGCATCTCGGAGCAGGACCACGCTTCACCCGTGAACATATTAGACGAGAAAACACATAGTGTTCAGTTAAGTGTACACATTTCAAAACTGAGATGGTTTGACTGTTTCAGAAGCTAAAATATATTGAAAAGGTGGTTAGTAGAATGCACTTTTTTCTGAGAAGCCCTTCCCAGTTTCCATTAACGACTGAATAATGTGTGTAATTGCTGCTTATGTAAATAAGTGCTGTTTGACCTGAGCTCCGTGTACAGCATCTGTCTTGCACAAATGCCGAGGTTAAGAAGACAAAAGATGTCTCACTGCGTAGTAGTAGAAAGACTGATAACATGTTGAACTTTGTTCACATACAGGCACACTTCGGAGACATGGTACATTCGGTTTCAGACCTCAGCAATAAAATGAATGTTGCAATAAAGCGAGTCACACAAAGTTTTTGGTTTCCCAGTTGATACAAAAGTTATGTTTACATTATTCTGTAGCTGTTAAGTGTGATGTAACATTATGTCTAAATGTACAGACCTTAATTTAAAAATATGTTATTGCTAGAAAATGTTAACCATCATCTGAGCCTTCAAGTCGTAGTGGTAACAGGAAAGCTCAGCGATCACACATCATCGTTACAAATATAATAATGATGAAAAAGTTTAAAGTATTGCAAGAATCACCAAAATGTGACATGGAGACACAAAATGAGCAAATGCTGTTGGAAAAATGGCACCGATAGACTGGCTTAATGCAGGGTTGCCACAAACCTTCCGTTTGTGAAAAACGCAGTATCCAGGAAGCACAGTAAAGCGCAGTGTGCCTGTGCTGTAGTTTACAGGTGTGATTTAAGGAGCCCTAGACAGTGTTATTTTTAACTGTTCGAGGAAACTTTTAATACAGCTTTGAATCTACAGAAGACTTGCAAAGATCCTGCACTCCCTTGACCCAGATTTACACATTTTGCCCATGTGCTTTTTCTCGCGCCCTCCTTGTTTTTTATATAGTCATGTATTAGTTTTTTTCCTGAACCAGCTTTTTCCATAATATAGGACCACTTTAGATACCCGCCAGCAATGATGAGAGTTTCCCTTACTCCACATCCTTGAAACAGTTGATACAGTCAGTGTAATTTTATAAGCAGTGTTAAAGAGAAATTTTTTTGTTTCTTTATTTCAGATGAGAAATAACTTTCGACATCATTTCATCAAAACTCCCCAACTGAAGTTACTGTACGATATCATAACATGGGTAGTAACTCAAGTGGCAGTAAGTTACACGGTCTTGCCCTTTGTACTTCTTTCTATAAAACCGTCGTTCATGTTTTACAGGTAAGTGTTACTCTTAAAAAGATGCCAGTGGAAATTATTTTTAAGAGAAAGCTTCTTACTATCGGGTAGAATAGGAAAATAGTACCCTAATGTATTTCCTGCAGTTAAATGCATTATCGGTTACTTTTAAATCTTAAACCAAGTAGTCTCAGGGTTTTTCTGGAAGGAGTCACAGCCCTCAGACCTCAGACGAGAGCGTGACCTAGAGGAAGGAGTAGCAGCCGGGTAACCGCTGCTTAGAATCCCTCAAAGGTTTCACTGCAACGTGGAGCTGTTCTTTCCAGAGCTTGGATGTTAAGTGGATTATTGTGACCATCTGGCAGTATATACATATGTTGAATCATTAAATTGTACACCTGTAGCTAATACAGTGTTACGTGTCAGTTATATCTCAATTAAAAAGAGCCGTCAGGCTAGCTTTGGCCCTAGGCCGTGGTTTGCTCGCCCTTCCTCTAGAGCCAAGGATTAGGAGTTTATCTGTTAAAGCAGAGGCTTCAGAGTCACTGGGGATATTTTGGGGGCTGAAGTAAGATGTATCTTCTGATAGTCACGAGTAACTGTTGGTACAGTCCGTGGACCAAGAGTTCAGGCTATCAGACTGCTGACTCTGAAAAAAAAAATGTAAAAAGGATGAACAATAAAGAATATGAGAAAGCAGTTTTAAGAAAGAAAAAATGTAGCTTGTTCTTTACAAGGAATTATTCTCTTAATTTCTTTGATCAAAAGATAATAAATTACTTATATTTCATTTAGTGGTTCCCTTTTCACTCTTCTGTGTCTCACTGGTACTTTGTCATCTCTGCATGACAGAAATTATTGTCTTGAATTCCATATTTTGTTTATGTTTATCTCCTCGCCCTCCCCCACCAAATTCCACCCTCCCCACTTAGATACTGGTATCTTTGAGATCGGAAACTTTTTTTCTTTCATAAATTCTTCATTACCCCAGCATTTAGAATGGCAGCACAGAGTATGTGGTCAAAAAATTGTTGAACTAAATCTGACAGTAATTGTACAGAAAGACATAAGTAACTTCTGCTAGAATTTCCATCTTAGTAGGATTTATTGTGTATGTTTAAATGCAGTTGGAGTATCCATCCCGGATACTTTGTGCACAGGCACTCCCGCTTACAGTTGTAGAAGCCGTTTAGGTCACATTTGCTTTGTGTTTAATTTGGGGCATGATGCTTCTAGTAATATTTTCAATAGCGTGACCTTTATTTCATGACAGTCACCATCAAGAAGCAGGACCGCTTATCTGTCACTCACATCAGTGGAGTGTTTGTGACTTAATTAGGGGCAGTAAGTAGCAGGTCAGGCTGTTCCTGTCCCTTTACCGCCTGCATTCTCTTGCTTTGCTCAGTATTTGATTCTGTGGCTTTGAGAGATCTTTTTCAGATCAGTATTAAGAAGTACCTTTTTGTTTTTGTTCTCTTTAGTCGTGGCCTTATGACCCTGACAAAGGAATGTAATATGATGTGTAGTATTGTGCTTCTAAGTGGCCTGGGTTTATGGAGTGCTTTATAAATACCCAGTGGCCTATGTTGCTAGAGTTTCACCTGAGGGGTGTGGATAAGAGAATAATGCCGGAAATATACTCACCCTAAGAGGGGCTTGTGACATCTTGACCAGCGGGCAGTTATTAAGGACTGTTAATGATCAGAATTTAATAAAGTAAGCTTTTCTTTTCCTTTTTTTTTTTTTAGCCATTGGTATTACTGCCTTCACATCGCTAGTATCTTAGTATTATTGTTGTTGCCGCTGAAAAAAACTCAAAGAGGAAAGAAGACACATGAAGATGTTCAGCTGTCACGATCCAAAAAGTTTGATGAAGGAGAACATTCTTTGGGGCAGAACAGTTTTTCCACAGCAAACAATGTTTGCAGTCAGAATCAAGAAGTAGCCTCTAGACATTCATCATTAAAGCAATGATGGAGAAAACACTCTGATGGCTATTTTTGTATGTTAACAGAAACCAGTCTTAGCACCTTTCAAGGGATTTGTGTCTGTTTGAAAAGAGATTATGTCGGGGGGAAATCAGGCAGTTACAGGTAGGGAATTCCCTGTATCCCAGATTGGAAATGGAATGAAATAACCCCTCCCATGCCATGTCCCTGTGGGCCACGCCTTATATGAAAACATTTCCATTATTTCAATGGGCACTCAGGACCTCAGCATATGTCCACACGGTCATATGTGTGCCCTGTTGCTGAATGTATGTTGCGTATCCCAAGGCACTGAAGAGGTGGAAAAATAATTGTGTCAATCTGGATGGTTGAGAAAAATTAACTTTTCCAAATGAATGTCTTGCCTTAAACCTTCTATTCCCTAAAATATTGTCCCTAAATGGTATTTTCAAGTGGGATATTGTGAGAACACTGTTTCAATATTTGATGTTGTGTGTCGCACAGGATTTCCGGAGGAATTTAAACAGGATATTTAAGATGGCGGATACTTTAAAATGCAATAAATAGCTCACTATTTGAAGGGTTTTCTTAAAGTATCTCAAATGACTGTGGTCTGTAGGGAAACGGTAAACAGTAATGGACGGCAAATTATAGGAACCTTATTTTCCTGGAGAGCTTAATTACCCTGTGTCAGGCAGAGAGCCCTTCAGGGGAAGATTTCTTCAGTATAATCAAAGGTTGATGATGTAATATTTTAAGCTTGTTTTCTTAAAATAGAGAAAGAAGATGGCAGAGGAAGGCGGGCAGGCATGAATGAAGCAGGCGCTCCGTGGGCGCGGCGGGGACGGGCCCCCACAGGTGCCAGGTCTCCGCACAAGCACGTCCCCCCGGTTTATATGAGTTATTTGCAATTATGTAAGACATGAAAGTTGAATAGCTTTTTACTATGTTGGACTTGTGAAAGAAATTTATCAAGCGTAAGTTATATAGTATTATAAAAAGCATTATGAAAATAATAGTGGGAGATTGCTTGAAGGTTTTGAAAGAGAAATCTTGGAATTAGCTTACTCTCGAGCTAATCACTGCTTTATCCTTGACATTTATATTGGTATTTGGGAAAAGTTTTAGGAAAATGGAAACTTATGATCATTAGGTCTGAACCACATTTTTAGAGAATGATACAGTTTCCAAACTCTTCTCACATAAAAATTCTACCATTCACTCTTATTAATGAGTTTTAGATTCTGAAAGTAGGAAAATGCACTTTGACCTCATGGGCCATTTTCACCGTAATTAATTTCATCTTGAATTGCTAGACGTCTCATTTTACTCCTTTTTCCCCACAGTCTTGTGATGCTGCAGGAGCTGAAGGCAGGGTGGAGGGGGTCATGCCAGCCTGGGGTGGGGCCACAGCCACAGAGGGGACATCCTGGGCCAAGAGAGGGAAGGATGGGCGGGGCCTTCTGAATTCACTGTTATGCCACCCATTTTCTGTGGAAGTTCTTTTCGTTTTGCCTTAAATTTTTCATGAAATGCAAATTGTCTGTCTATGGTGAGTCTCTTTTTTTTTATCATTAATAAATTTGCAAATGAAGTTACGGACAGAACCGCTCTGGTTTAAGCTGTGTAGTACTTCATTTCAAGACAAAAGGAAAGGCAAAATACATGGAACTTTTGAGGTCTAACCAGCAAAAATAGCAGTGCATCTTCCTAGAACTTTAGTAATATCTTAGCCTTTGTTTATATGAAATGTTTTTATTTTTCTAAAGGTAAATTTTTTCCACCTGACGGTGTTAGCCATGCTGTTACCTCCCAGGAAAGGACAGATTGCTAAATTCCTTTCCTCTATTTTCCCAGGCACTGAAATTAAGCTGTGGGATGTGGAGAGTGGCCCCCACAGTGTCTCCTCAATTTAATTAATGCTGCAGAGAATCTGGCTACTGTTAAGAAAAAGTCAACAAGTTTAGAGGTTAAAAGACAAGTCTAGGCATGTTGTAAGTGCAAACAAGAAAGTGTAATAAAACCTTTTTTTTTGTTCAGCCTACCTAGCCCTTACCGAATAATCATGATTTATTTCTACTACCTGACTACATTTGATTTCTCAGTCTGTACACCTAAAATAACTTATTTATGTTTTTTGCTCAATGAATGTAATCAAAGCAAGATGATTGATGAATTTTCCAATTATGTTGAAGACAATACGTTATAGATACAGTTGACGGCTTTCCATTATCTGGATTGTCTGGGGTTTGTGGGGTTTTTTGTTTTGTTTTTGGTATGAAATAGGTTTTGAATACCTTTTCTTTAATTTTGGAGAAATTACAATCACAAGTATGCAATCTTGGAGAAAAACTGAAGAACTAATTCTAATCCTCAGCTTGACTTTTCTCCTCGAGAAGAGACCTTGTGCTTTAGAAAATGAATATACCCACTTGGAGCGTTGTAAGGGTTAATACGTTACTTCTAATTACAGTAGGAGAATTGCAAACTGGTACAGCTCTGCGATGCTAAGTTTAAAGGGATTCGTTGTAATATGCGCTTCTTGCTTCTTTTTTAATCAACAGAATAGGATTCAGTGTGTATTTAAAGTTACTGTTTCTCCACTCTTCAGTTGTCATGGAACCACTCCAGAAATGATCGATCAATATCATTTTTATATTTTTACTTAATTATTATACTACTCAGGGAGAAAATGAACGAAAATAATTATCTTTCCCTCAATTTTATTTTCTTGAAACAGTAAGTTAATTTATTTTGACATATCTCAGCTGTCACCATTTTCCAACTGGCTTATTCTTGGTTTTTAAAAGAAGCATTTTTTTTAATTGGAACTCGGGATGACTGAGGAAATTGACTTGGCTTCTAAAGTGCCCAGCGTAACAGAGGAGGTGTATTTGGCTTCAGAAACGTCCAGCCACCACGTATACTGCCACCATACTCTTGGTTAAAAAGTATTTTTTAAATTGATTCCCACCATGGATAACATTCACATAGAGGATTTCCACAGATACCAGTTTTGAGGGAAAAATGCAGTAAAAAGAATGGTTTTTAAAAGTGAAGGTCACACACATTGAAGCACCAGTTGTCCTGGGAAGAGCTCTGGGTGTTCACCTGGCTCTGTCATCGGTGAGCCTGGTGACCTGGACAAGTCCCCTGTCCTCCAGATGAACCTTGCTGTGAAGCCCAAGGGTTAGTTCCAGAAGCTCATGACCAGTGTGTTTGTAAGGAGTGGAAGCCATTAGCAAGCTCTGTCAGAGCCACACGCAAGGGCGGATTCACAGGCAGGATCGTCTTCTTGGTCATTTACTTTTACTACTTGAGCTCAAAGCCCTGACTTTTCGAAAGTGTTTTGAGGCAACAAGAAAACCTCTCAATCCATTAAATCAGAAGTGTGGCAACAAACCCTTTCTAGTGAACGTAGTGTTAAATGGAATCTTTAAATTAAATAATGAAATAGTCTCCACTGGAAAAATATTTTCTCCTTTTACTTTTTCTGCTTTTTTGGTTTCTGTTTGTGCAATGTAGACTGAAGAAGATATATGCTAAAAAATATTTTATATGAATTACCAACTTTACTGGACAAAGTTTACCACCGTGTAACTTCTCAAATAGTATTTCATTCAAAGATATTTAAAGAATATTTAATTTGCACCTTATTTTAAACTACAGAAAAAATTACTTTAAAATGTTGCCATTAAAATAATTACAAAGTTTATACTTTTATTCAAGGTCTGCATTACATTTAGGACAAAAATCTCTCCTATTTAAAATTCAAACGTTTTGAATTTTAATTTCTATATTCATGGACAACTCTGGACATTTATACTTTTCTGTTTCCTTATTTTGAATTGTTCAAAATTATTAGTTTATTGATTTGAAGGGTTCTGCATTACAGTTGAAAGAAAAAATTACTTGAGAGAATAATTGTTTCAGAATAGTGCCTGTTACTACTTTGTCAGTGAAGGACTTGTCCAGAGTTTTAGATATAAACCAGTATTTTGTGGAGTTTTATTCAGCCACTAATAGTCCATCCTGGCTGAAATTGAATACAGCAGATTTAACGTAGGTGCAGAATTCTAAATAACGCTGTGAAATACAGTCTTGACTGCCCTCAAGTACCTTATAAAACTACACTTAACCCAGGGTACATTTAATGAATGGCTGATCGTTTATACACTTCAGTTAGATGCTGAAAGTTCTGCTTTCTGCAGTCCTTTCTTATAAAAGTGCATTTGTGTCCATGCACGCTCCTTATGCTGAAGGAAAATATTTGCATTAAAAAAAGAAATTCCACTCTGAAATGTGGATTTGCAAGATGAGGAAGCAGAGGATCTCTACAGTGATTTTCTGCAGCACCACTCAGTCAAATCTATCTAGAGTAACTCAATACTGAAAAAACTTAAAATGAGATCTTCCACGTTGGCATTTTGTAGGACTGCTCTTAAAATCAGTGACTAAGCTGCTTTTTGTGTCTCTTGTACCAAGGATGCAGCCAATTACATTTTACTTGGTTTGCTGCTTAATAATGTTTTTATATGTTTAAAATAGTATTTATTTGAATTTTTTTAACATTATGCAAACCCCAGTAAAGAACTGGTAAGCTCTATATAGGTCATTGATTGGGAAGACTTTCTGAAATGGAGCCTGAAGATGCATTTTTATGCCAACTAATTTGTCTTGCCTTTAAGACTGATTATACCTGTCTTCTTTCAGTAGATCTTTTATAAAGCAAAAGAACAAAACAAAAAAACCCAAGACTGTTCTGTAAATAAGAATATAAAGATTCACGCAAAATCACTGTCTAAAGCTTATTCAGTGATGCAAAGCCATCTTTCCAGTCCCGTTTTATCAGATTTTGCTACTATAAAAAGAAATGGAAATATAATGAAAAACCAAAAGTTACAGAGCAACATCAGTAAAATGAGTAACCATTTTCTTAATAACATGTTTGAAATGGAAAAAGTGACTGGCTGCCTTTACTGGTGTTGTAAATGACCATATTCTGCCCAGTCTCTGTTTTGGGGTAATTTTAAGAAATTGGTTTGTTACCATTCCTCTTTGCTTTTTCCTGTCAAAGGGCAAACACATGTAAGGAGTTTGACAGCCTTTTAAAATATGCCTCTTTTCTGATTTTAAGCATTTTTGATTCTGTATCTATGGGTTTGTCAACAAAGTCCATTCGCTCCTGACTTATTTACACAGGAGAAAAGGAATCAAACATTCGACACACACGTGTTCCAAGCCAGTCTTCTCCATCTTCTGTCACCTGTACGCAGCTGCCTCCCTGAACCAGGAGGGGCCCGATGGAAAGCAATAGGAATAAAAGTAAAAATAATTCAGGTGAAACCAGAGAAGCCCTTCTCCATACAGAGTGAAAATGTGTGATTTCATCCTGCCTTCCTTTACAGGTTGTGTCTTGATCTCTGCGTAGGAGTAGTTGAACATTGTTAGCCAAACGCGAGAAGGGTTCCAGCGCCAGCAGCCAGTATTTACAATCGTCACTTGCCTTCCCTGGGTGAGAATAGAACGTGGTGTTCTGTGCATTTTGTTTTTGTTATTCCAAAATATTTTTTAAAGAAGTGTTATTTTTTGACAGATCCATAAATTAGTTCCGTGTTGTATGGCAAATTAAAACTTACCACTGTGTCAGTTACACTGTGACGTGATAATTTCATAACCGCTCATTTCGAGTCTGTGTCCTCAGAGCTGCACTGGTGGCTTGTTGCTGGGTTTTAAAGATGTTTTTAACTGAACATATAAATGTTTTTTTCTAATTTGTGTGTCTTTAAAAAAATGATTAAACGGTAGTTTAAAAATACATGTGTGTGTTTGCTAATTTCAGAGACTTTAAATTACATCTCTAGAACTGAATGTCAGGTCTGTCATGAAAAGCAATGGTCTTATTGAAGGAGTCTTTAATTGGATGGTAATACTCACAGGAGTCATTGACTCTTTAAAGATCATTTAAAAGAAACTATTGTCACGTGATAAACACTTTGGAAGGCAATGAAAACAGCCTTAAGTTAGTGTATAGTATCTTGTATTCTCAAAACAGACTTAGACAGTGAAGGTGACGCTGACTGTTCTCAGTTACAAAGAAAAAGCGTTGGCTTCCCCAGTCCTGCTGTTAGTACTTGCACTGGGCTTATCTGGATCTGGTCTTGGCTTTTGAGAAGCAGAGCTCTGAGACCCCTACTCCATTTCTGCACCATGAGTACAAACTTAAGGGAACTTTGCAGTGTCCTTCCTGGCCCTTACAGATACGTTGTGAACGGCTGCAGGGAAGACATCTTACATAACTTGTGCTGTTGGACAGAAATGCTAGGCGAAATGCATACGAAAAGCCCAGTGTTGGTGCTTTCTGGCTGGAAGGACTTCGACTTGATAGCAGATTTAAATGACCCTGTTTTGAGATCCTGTGCTGAAATTGAGCCGTGACCGACAGCTGTGGGGACGCGGCACTCAGAGCTGCAGCCGGTCCAGCCCTCACGAGTGTGTCCCGACAGGCACGCCAGCGAGGGTAACTTGATTCGCTCAGTCAGGAAGGCCAAGGGCCAGGTGATGACAGACTCCTGCTGTATATGGGTGAACATTGTATGTTCTGTATTTTTCTTTCAATTCTTCATTCCACGGTAATTTAATGAGTTCTGACCCAATGTGCTGGGTGACTAAAGAATTAATCACGGCTCTTGCCTTTGAGGCACCGGTAAATGGTACCCAGATGACATAGTGTGTGTTTATTAGAGGCTTGCAGAAGGGCATTTGGATTACGGAGGGCTGCACGGAGGAGGTGGCACTTGGGTTTGTGAGGAAGTGCTTTACTGGGCTGACAGGGGAGTTAAGTAGAGGAAGAAAGAAAAGCATGTCCAGAATTTTACAGTGTTACACACAAATAGAATAAAAACAGCAGGAGTCCTGCAAGTTCAGCGCTGCCCTGTGCTGACTTCCTATTTAACAATATCGTACCCCCCCCCATTAGAGAAAGGAATAATAAGGGAAAAAATGAGTTTAGCTAATGTTTGGAAAATAAGACTTCATGAAATATTTCCAGCATATAGTTCCATCCAGAACAACATAACAGATCCCCGCGTCCACCGCTCAGACTGAACAGACGTTTCCCCTTTGCCGCATTAGGTTTACTTTGTCTTTTTTCTCATAAGAAGAACGTTGCACATCAGGCCAGCTTACCTGCCCCAGCCTTCCCTTCCCCTCCCTCCTGAGAAGTCACAGCCGTGTCAATGGGAGCCTCTTTGGGTAAGCTTTTCATTTGGTCACCTGCTTTCTTATAAGCTTAGCTACGTGATTTAAAAAATAAAAGCCGCCTGTTTTCTCAGTGCTTGTAATGGATGGGTCGTGTGGTTGGGGCCAGACATCAGCTCAGGTTTCTGGTGTCATGAAATGTGGCACTTCTCTTTACTGGGAAAATCCTTTCTATTATGATGTATCTTTTATTTTTCACACGTGCTTTGTTTTGTGTTGCGTCCTCTTTTTTGTCTCCTCCTCCCAGGCGACACTGGCAGTGTCCACGAGCACAGGCTGAGACTCTCACCAGCGGAAGGCCAGAGCTGGACGCCCTTACAGGATGCCCTTCGCTCGGTGGCATCCCTTTTGGCAGAGCGAGCGTGAGAGCAGCCTGATAAAAACAGGCCTAAGATCTGAGCTTAACTGCCAGCTGTTTACAGCCATCGGTGGGAGGTCAGCTGCCCAGCACCCAGAGACCGAGGGCCGGTGAGGAGATGAGGCCCTCAGATGGCCGAAGGGGCTGCCAGTCCCCCACGAAAGCAGAGCTCCTGTTTCTCTCTCCACACCTCTTCAATGCATGAGTCATAAGACTCAAGAAGAGGCTAAAAA